GTTTTTTGATAATTATTGAATAACTGCACCTTTTATTATGATAATACAGTACATAATTACTTTTGTGTACCTTCTTGTTTCACTTATCTACCTGTATCCTTTTTCATAAAACAGACACAGGGACCGCAAATAAATAATTTGAATAAAAGTACATAGGCATAGGCTTACCTTAAAGTTACAACAAGTTTTTCCTTGGCAGAAATGCAGGGGCGAAATTTAGTTACAGTGCCGGTGATTGATGGACTTAATTTTCTTAACAGTTCTTCAAACGAAGACTTGCTCATCCGCAAATAATTAAAGAACTTTTCATCATATTGCTGAAGGTCGGTGAAATAAGTATGAAATAATACCTTTGTTCGCCTTTCACGTAGTAAGGGATGGACCCAATATTTTTTCCTTTTCTTTTTCTGCTTCTTACTAAGATACAAAAGCACTGCTATTTCCTCAACGTCCATTTTGAAGCGCGCTGTATAAGCAACTGACTATCGTAGCCGCAGTTTTGGCCGCGTTGCAAATCGCAACCCCTGCGGCCGGGCGGCGCGTCTGGCCGCTAGTGCGCTATTACCCTAATTAATGACTCGTTATTTGACCATCTTCCTCCAGATTTCCCTCGTCTATGTAACCTTAACTCCCTACTTTCCCTCCCATCCAGCCCGATCGTCAAAATTTTAGGGAAATTTATTTCTGTTAATAAATTAAAGTTATAAATAAGATTCTCCCCTAGTCCCTACATAAGTAGTAAAATGTTAACCTCTTGTATATATTAATTATTATTAGATGTCTGCGTGTGTGTTGTCTTTATTGTGACGTCATTTTTGTTTAGGGTAACTCTGCTTAGATTAAATTCAATCTATCAAAATTATCAAATCTATCCTCACCGTGTGAAGACTTAGAACGTGACATTGGCGGAATTGTGATTTACACAGATGTCGCCATTATAAATAAAGTGAAGTGAAGTTACTAAAAAGTAATTATTATAAATCAATTTTTTTAACCACATTGTAAACATATTTTTTAAATATTATTTTAAAATCAGATGAAATATAATAATCGCAAGTGATTAACAATGTTACGTCTTACTTAAAATAAGTAAAGGGAGTACTGAACTAATCTTCTTTGCAAATTATTCATTATACATATTTTTAAGGTAATATAATAATATAATACTTTATATATAGACCCTTAGAGAGTCGGAACTGATATGATATTAAATGAAAGTAATAATTAACAACCAATTTATTTAAGATACTTTTGAACATTAATTATTACCCTTTTCAGTTTAAAAAATGTACTCACCAAGACAGAAGATATTGTGGTTTGCATTTAATACCAGAATTTTCATAATTTTGCTGCAAGCGGTCTTCAATGCTGTTATTCCAGATCATGATGCAAATGTTTTTATAAGTCCAGAAGACCCAACTTTAAGGAAAACATCAGCAGATTCTATTATAGAAAAGATTTTAGGAGGATTAAAAAGATGGGATGGTCAGTATTTCATTCATATTTCCCAATATGGATATACATATGAAAACTGTTTAGCATTTTTTCCATTATTTCCATTAATTGTAAGACATCTTGCCAACCTTATTAATAGTGTATCAAGCAGCTTTCTGAACTATCATAGTAACTTGTTAATATCAGCAACTTTGATTAACATTGTGTTTTTTATCAAATCAGCTGATGTATTACATAGACTAAGTCTTAGGGTACTTAAGAGTGAAAGCAAGGCTTACAAATCAGTGATTCTGTATTGTGTTAATCCAGCTAGTATATTTTTTGTTGCTCCATATTCAGAATCCTTGTTTGCTTTTATGTCATTTTATACTATGTTGAAGTGTACCGAACCAGAGACTTTGAGGTTTGCTAATATTGACATGATCACTGCTATACCTGTCGGGTTTTCCATGATAACAAGATCTAATGGGTCCTTGAACTTAGGATTTATATTTTATACCAGTTTTAAGAATACAATTGAGAAAACCATACCTGAGATAATTTACAAATATAGAACATTGAAAAGTAAAATAATTATTCCTGCATTAATGTTACCATTACTTACATCAGCTTTGGCACTCTTTATGACTACAATAGTAGCTATAATGCCATTTGTGTTGGTTCAAGCCTATAATTACTTCAAGTTTTGTACTGTAACCGAAAATACTTTACCAGAATTTCTATTAAATTCAGAGTTTGTCTTACCAGGTAATGCAGAAAGTCCATGGTGTAATAAAACATTGCCTGTGTCATATTCTTACATCCAAAGCCATTATTGGAATGTGGGGTTTTTTAAATACTATCAAATTAAACAGTTACCAAATTTTATATTGGCACTGCCTGTATTAGTTCTAATTTTATATAATTGTTTGAGTTATGTAAAAAATAACATAAGGTTATTTGTAAGGCTTGGATTAAAAGACAATATATCATACTTTGGATATACAACTAAGATTAGTTGTAGGCCTAGGCAATATTCTAAAGGATTTGGGACCAATGACCCAGTATACTTTGTGTATGTGGTGCATGTAATGTTTTTAACAATCTTTAGTATAATGTTTGTTCACATACAAGTTACAACAAGGCTTTTAGCATCTGCAAGTCCTGTCTTGTATTGGATATGCTCAAATAAAATTAATGTGGGTCCCACACCAACATCTGATCAGAATACAATTAATGAGCATTTTCGAAGAATTGGGATGGGAAAAAGAATACCATCACACCATTTATCTATTGCCAATTTGGAAGGTGTTGATAACATGTACAGTAAATGGAAAACTTTTATCATAACCCGCAAAATGCCTGACCTTCAGTCCCGCTTCATACAATGTTATTTTATTGGTTATGTAGTAACAGGTACTGTACTGTTTTGTAATTTCTTACCTTGGACTTGATTATCTGATCAAGCTGAGCTTTGTATGCTCACATATCATTGTAAAACATATTCATATCATTTTTTATTATTAGAACATTGAATAGATGATTATTTATTAATAGAATAAGTCAATTTATTAAAACTTTTGCTTAAAATTAAATAATGCATGGGGCCTTTAAAATTAGTCCATTTCTAAGTGTAGAGCTTGGAAGTTTTAAAATGTTTTAACATTGCATAATGCAGCCTTTACGATTTTAGTAAATCTAGTCAATAATAGTTAATTTATAGTTATACAAATGCTTCCTAGCATTGACTTATTTATGATGTAGGAAATTGATCTCATTTTGATAGTAATGAAAATGTATCTGCATTTTAAAATGGTTTCTGAATTTTTATTTATAACTTAAAGTATGACATATGCAATATACTTTGAGGTGGACAAACCAATCAAAAAATGCACAGTTATCAATGATACATTATCGGGAGTTACTACGCCATAATATTGGGAATCAGTAATACAGTCAAAACCGGTTATAACGACATTGAAGGGACCGTATAGTTGCCGACGTTATATCCGATAGTCGTTATAAGCAATGTCATGTACACAAGTACAGTACATATGTATGTACATAGTTATCGATCTAGAATAGGTAGGTATGGGTTATAATATGGTATGTTAATATTATAATATGTAAACGAGTCAAAAAAGAAACAAAAATATTTATTACGAAATAATTAGGTACAAAAGTAATCAGTCAGTCTGTTTTTTTTTAGCCCAGTCTCAAATATTTTTTGCATTTTACGTTTCATACTCCTCAAGGTATGAGTATCACCAGTATCAAACTGTTCGTTAAAGGCAACAAATTTTTGCAAAATCGTTACAGCGTTAAGAGCCTCGGAAATCGTTGTTGGCTGAAACTGTTCGTTGGGAGAAAGTGCGTAGGTAATAATATGCCTAAATATTCATTCAATGCTTATAAATAAAATTTAAAATCGTTTGTATTGTTTTGTTTTACTGAGACAAGAAGCGGTTGGTCGTTATATCCGATGAATATCGATAAACTTTCGTCGTTGTAAGCGATATGTCGCTGTATCCGATGTTGTTATAAGCGGTTTCTTTACTGAATAGTTTACTAGGGATTCGGACGGGACCATACAATCTGGTTGTAATAACCGATAGGTCGTTATCAACGGTTTTGACTGTATATATGTATAGATAATATAGAGTAACTTGAATTTGCCTTAATGAGTTGTGTTTGCATCAAAAATACACATAGCTAATTAAGTATAGCTGAAAACAGTTATGACAACCGTCCATTCAGCAATAAAAATAGTCATACAAACTATAATAATCATGTGTGCAATTTAATAAAACATTTGCCTTAGGTAAAATAAATTTAGGGCGTTTGACATACGCAGATTTATAACATGTTTATAGAATATACATGTTTATAAAATATATTCAAATAATCATAACCACAATAAGTTTAAGACTACTTAAGGCAATGGCTAAGTGTTTTATCTAAAAGATAGCCAATAAAAAACCAGGTAACTTGCAAAATTGCCTCTTTTTATATATATAGTGAATGATAAGAACATTTTATTGTTGATGGTTGTGAAATTTTTGTATGCTGCATTTCAATCTTGATTCAAGAGAAACAATTGTTCAAAAAACTTAGATATAATGCAGCATTCATAGGCTATAATATGCACAATAAATGCGTACACAAATGTCTAAATATTAAAAAAACTTCCCAAATTACAAAAGTGTTTTAATTACTTATACTTGAAGTAAATACATGGTTATCACTGTTAAAAAGTTCATGAAAATGTGAATTTAGTTAATTTGCAATTTGATGATGTCTTATTAAAATATTTGTGATAAAGGTTATCACACAACACATATATTAAAGACTACACATAGGCTTAAAAAAACTTAGTACCTAGACTTGTCCTATGATGAATTAATTAAACATAGGGAGAGGAGTTAGGTCTATATATTAGATTCTGTGCTATCTGGGACACATTCAGAAACACTTGCTTTAGGTGATTCTTCTGTTGAATCTGGAAGGACCATGTCTAAAGGGTCAGCTTTGTCGGTAACGGGGGTTTCCCCGTCACCGGCTGGACCCTATACAGTCACTAAAGCCTCTTTAAGCCTCAAGCGAGCCCGTTTCACCCTTTCTTCTTGCCTCTTTACATCCTCTTTTGTTATTGTCACAGCTGCAATCAATGGCTGCTCAGGATTTAAAAAAACACCTGGGTTTTCGATAATAGTTTGTTTTGATCCAGTCTGCCCTGTAATAGTTGAAGAGAATTTATAAAATTATAAATTTTTTAATCACACCTTGAAAATTATTATAATTGGAAAGAAACACATGATTTAGCATTAAAAAAATGGTGACAATGAATACCTGTTATAGGTTGAGACGAAACATGCAATGCTGTAGCAAGAGATTGGATAGTTGTAGCATCTGATGTGTAGGGTCCCAAAGGTTTTATATAGCGAGGTAATGTAGTGGTTCCAATAACACCATTTGCATCACAAGCAGTCAAACCCTGGAATATTCAATGTATAAAAATTTAACATAAGTACACTATAGTGATTAAGAATTTATAAATAACTAAAAATCTTACAGAAACTAGTGACATATTTTTTTCAAATTTTTCTATAAACCAAGAAATAGTATTAACATTAACTTAACCACCTTTAAAGCTTGGGAGGTTATGTATAATATGCCGTATAATTTGGAAATTAGCCTAATAAACACAGAAGAATATTCTTTATCAGCTTACCTCAAGTCTTTTTTCCCAAAATAGTTGCTTAGGTTTCTCTTGGTTACCATGCTTTAAATCTGTTTTAACTTTACTTTCTTGAGTTTTGTAGACAGTAACTGGTTGCTTGAAAATTGAAGCTGTTTGTCGTATAGGAGGAACTAACGAGGCATCAGATCGTACACCCCTGTATTTAAAGAAATTTGTTAAAGATGAAACATCAATTGGTATAAACACTGAAAATTTGATTTTTTCTATTAGTAACTAAAATATGTAGTTATGTTATTTAAATAATTAATGACTAATAATACTATGATCTATTTTATTATTGTAAAATTCAACACTAAAATATATAAAAAAACTAAAACATGCATATTAGTCATGCTCTAATTATGAAAGTATCAAAGCAATTAAATACAAAATTTAATTTAAAGAAATACCAAACCAGTTAAATATATTTAGTGTACTTATAGTAACTAGTTTTCTGGTAACAAACATAACTTTAAAAGCATAAAAGATGTGTTCATAATAATAGGCATATATGTATATCATTACCTAGCTAACCATGCACTATAGACCACCACCACATGAAAATGTATAATCTGGTGTAATAATTAATTAAAATCCCAATAAATAATAACAATCAACTTAAAAGTTTGAATTTATAATTCAATTTATTATAATAAAATGTCTAACACCTGGCAAAAATTCAAATGTATGAGAAGGTTCTTATTAGAAGGTGATGGTATAGCATAAGAAAAGCTCTAATTATTTAACATTTCTTGATTATTATAAATCTAAAAACTTTGTGTAAATTACATAAATAATACACACACTAAAATAACCAGAATTTGATATCTAAAACAATACTAAAGCTCAAATTGAAGCCAAGTGTAGAGGCGTACAACAGATGTAACATAAAGCTGAACTAGTGAACACAACACAGGTGATACAAAATAGGACACAGATGGCTGAACCTGTAATCAAACTGCGCACGAGCTTTCTTGGCCTTGCACAGCAGCATGGTGTTAATTTGACCCTGCTGAAAGTCGAAACATGATAGGTCCATACTATCACCCAGATAACGAACTAGCTCTGCTTTACTGCGAAACTTTTTACCTGTTGGGCTATAGAAAATTCATGGTACACTATAACCTATCTTATTGAGGTAAAGTTTCATGTTAGTTCTGTTAATATTAGACAAGATTGGTGAACGTACTATGGTACTTTATGCGGGGCTTTTGAGCAAAATTACTTAAGTCTTCTGGTGGTAACTAAAGTGGAGTATTACAATGGTTTGCAGTAATAATGGCTAAACTATGAATAAGTTATTAGACTATGTAGTTATACTGAAATTTGTCTCTAAAAGTTCATAAAACAACAATGGTACCTTCACAAACTACATTACCTGTAATAATAAACGTCAACTTTTCCAGCGGATAGTCCGCTTTTTCTTATGACTTCTTCTCTTTGCCATCCTTTTGGCAAAGCAGAGCAATCCATTCTTTTTTTTTCGATAGATATATTCATTTTGAAAATTCGTCTGTGTTGTGTCAGAATAAAGATTTAAAACACTGTAAAATTCCTTAACTTCTTATTTTTACAATCTTAAACTTATCACAAATATATATATAATAAAGTTTAGGCCTTCAATTCAAAATAAAACTTCATTTATCAATCACTCTTCTTCTTCAATCTATTGTAGATTTAATAAATGGAACACACCGACGTCCAACGAATTATAGACTATTTAGTTGCTGGAATAGGAATACAAAGATATTTCATAATTCATATTATTAACACAATTCACCAGACGCGTCTTCACACTTTCACAGTTCGTAATCTGTGCAACTCAACTCAAGAGTCAAGACTCAAGTGACAAGTCCAGGGGGTCTAGCCATATTGGTGTCAAAAAGTATTCTACATACACTACCGCTTTTGCGTAATTGTATTGTCGAAAACGCTTCGTTCGTAGCCAAGAGACGTCGATACATTACCGCAAAGTCGACAGCGTAGATGCGAGCTGCTCTTCGTAGCACCTTATTCCGTCATATTGTCTCTGGATTAAATGTATTCCTAATGTCACTTTTATAAACAAATAAAAGTTAAAACTTTACAATATTATTGTAAATTTGCAATTGGAAGCTACAAAAGGGACATTAGAATGTCAGCAAGGTCGGAACAATTTTCGATTTAAGTGGAATTTACGGAAGGTGCAAAGTAAATATATGAATTTTAATTGCATGTTTAAATTAATTATGGTTTGTTTCATGTTTTCTCAGAAATTTAAGGCTACAATTAATACAATATTTTGAAATTGCATAATCGCGATATATAATAATTAGTAGTACTCATACTTTGATATTTTTAGGATTTGACCTCACAACTAATCTACAAAATGAAGAAGCAACATATTTTGTTACCGCTTAGAAGAAACAATAGAAATAGTACTGTGGATTGATAAATAAAGAGTGAAAATAAGGTTGACTAGAAGTTGATAAAGTCCAAGGAATTAAAAAACAATAGAAAAAAAACGTAGACTAGTGTGAACACTGAAATTAGAGTTTGATTTAAGCTTTAATTAGGTTTGGTGTTTGTGCTTGAACATTTTTAATGTCAATTTGAAAGCAGATTTATATATAAGTGTAGATTTTAGTAGTGATTTGCTACTAGTTGGAATTATCTCTGTTTATGTCCAACAAACAATTTCAATTTATGTTAGAGTCATAAAAGTTAATTGATTATTTATTTATACTTTTAGAAAGTGAGAATTGAAAAACAGCAAGTACTCTATGAAATGAAAAGAGGGCTTAATAAAAATTATAAAATAGAAACTTAGTCTGGTATGAAGTTATAACCCTTAATCAACCTTTGATTCCATATTGATGCTCCAACACCTTAGATATAAATTTAAGTTTGATGCTGATTTTAAGTTAATATTTATGTAAATTATTTTTTGGTTATATCAGTGATTTGCTACTAGTTAATATGTAAATGCAAAATCTGTTTAAGTAAGAAATGAATAAACATTGTATGTTATGTATTTGTCAGTTTTATTTTTGGTAATTTACCTGTCTTCTTTAGTAGGAAAAGCCATTAAAGTGGTTCACAATATTAGTTTATTTTACAAGAATATACAGATAATGCATATATGAATGACACATACCTACTAATAGTTAGGAATATTAAACAAACAGGTAGCAAAATAAAAATGTTTCAGTTATGGTTATTTTTTATTAAAATAAGGCACCAAATATCTTCCTTAACATAATGCAGTCTACATAGAAAAATAAGCATATTATGTAACAACTTATTAAACAATACAGATATTACTACTGAACAGTGTTGCCAACTTAATTTTAACGAACCCACCAATTTTGCCGTCGCAACCCACCAGAAAACCACTAAAATCCACACTAACTAATAAAATAAATGTAAGTGTGTTTGTTTATTTATCCTTTTTTCACGCCGAAAGGAAATATAGGATCGATGTGATTTTTATGTCCGCAGATAGGAGGGGGTTAGGCAAGCAGCCGGCGAGCACTATTTTTTTGTTTTTACCGCGGGAAACACATGTTTTACTGAAGTAAACAGTAGTCTATGGACTATGTCACTCTTTACTTTAGATGGATAGCATACAGCTAGGATATATTTTTTGACAATAAAAGAACAATATTGTAAATTGAATTATAAAATTCGTTTATTTTCATTACAAAAAAACTTATAGAAGACATACAAAATCGTTAAAAATCATCTTCAGCAGAGTCGGATTCCTCTGCACCTTATGATTTTAAGTACATTTCTTTCGTTCCTATTTTCTGGACTACATAATTTGGCAAGATGTAATTATTGCAACACTTTCCTTCGCGTTTTAAACCTGCGCGGATTGTCATAATAGATGACAGTAGATCTAGCTTCATTCGGTTTCTGTGTTTTGTCTTCACGATATTCATAATGCTGAATAATCGCTCTACGCATTAGAGTGCGGTAAAACTAATAAAGATATAGCAAACGTGGCTAAATCTTCAAATCGGTTTTCTCCTGCAATGTCTTCGAAATCCAGCACCTCGTACCAAAAATTCCACCAGCTGTACTTTCCACCACTTCCAGCCAGTCCTTTAATTGGGAGTCCCGTAACCAACAATCCCGGAACTTTTGCGTATATTGCGGTTTTGGCATTTTGTTTTAAAAATAAACTAAACATTTGCAAACAAACAAGGTCGCTCCGATGCATAGCATAACCAAAACTACTAAGTATCTGTTTTGTGTATTTCTATTTTTGTGCATGCATACGAAACGAACACATACAAATCTCATTAATTCAAATCAAATTTGACCCATTAGTCATACGAATAAAGCCCATAATCAAAATAATTTAAGAAATTGATAAACTTGTTTCGGAAAATTCCCGAAAATAACGAACGTAATTTTACAGAGTTGCCTACATAATGACAAAATATTCCTTGATAAGGTAAACGTTTTCGTCTTTTCCTGTAAAGATATCACTCGTGCTAGTGGTTAAATGTCGTAGCATACCACTGAATGAAACAAACTAAACCACTAGAAAAATCCACTAGCCACTAAAACCAAAATTCGCCCGCTAAAACGTATATCTAAACCACCAGATCTAGTGGAATATCCACTAAGTTGGCAACACTGCTACTGAACACACGCAGGTGCACCAAATTAAATGCATTACTACCTAATGTAGATGTATTCATATATTATGTAGATAATTAACTAATGTAAGTGTTAATTTGCAGCAATGTCAATATCTTGTGCTGTTATATACAAAAAATTGTTCAATTCATAAAACCTAACGTTAGATGTTGTGATGATTTCATAAAATTACTATGATACCTATAGTTCTATGAATACATCCTGGGCGATTAAAAAAATAGTGATTGTTTCCTTAACACAACAATTGTAAATAATAATAGTAATTGTAAAGATATAATTCTTCCCAAAATCTACAAATGCAGTTTGTTTATAATAATATCTCATTAACATTCAAACTGCTGAACTTATTAAGATTAAATGTGGAAGAACATAGTTTCAGTTACTGTTTCCTGTTCTTGAGGTAATGTTACTTTACCAACCATTATTTCATACTCCACTTGTCTTATTTTTTACATTATTCATAAAATGCTTCGTTCCCCATTATCAAATTCATTTTCAGGTACATAATATAACACTTTAATTAATTAAAAGATAAGACTTTAATAAAACTTGTCCATTTGTGGTTTTTTTAATACTTTTAGTTGTCTTATTAGCTTCTCTTTTTCTGAAAATAAAATATTTTAGTTAGTACTTTGATCAATAGGTAACTTTAATATTAAAAGTCTTTACTTAATTCTAAACTTAAAAATATACTTAATTTGTCACTTTGCTGCTTATTGTCAATTAAAGTTTTTAATAACCAAACAATGTCAGTAACTCCCAAGGGACTTGAATTAAAACTTCTCATTCATTAATAATATTATAATAACTTCTCTAGTATATTAACTTAGTAAATAATTAAAGAAAATATCTGCTTACCATTAAGTACTTAGTATTGCTCACTATATTTTATATTTCCAAAGTTCATGAAGTAAAAATCCACTTTATTTGATTAATTTAAATCAATATTATATCATTAGCTTCTATTATAATTACAATAAAATATATTTAGAACTTCTAATTATGTTCATTAGTGACTGCTTTCTCATCTGAAATACACAAATAATATGTACAATCATTTTACTTTGTGATTACATAATATAAGCAATATTAAATGGTTTATGTATTTTTCAAATTAAAGAACAATTTCATGAACTTACATGCAATATAAATATCAATAAAAGATATCCAATATAACTAATTAACTAGGATTTACCTCTACTAATTTGCTGATTTTCTTGATATTTTCATTTTTATCTGTGTCTATTATGTTATCCTCGCATTGATTCATAGAAAAACTAAAACTCTTAACTTAAAAATATTTACTCTAGTTTAAATTATTATAATTACACGAGAACGTTAAAAAGACAGATAACAAATTAAAACCATTTCGTTAAAATGTCCAAAATATGACATGTTTTTAAAACGGTAGCCATTAAAGATGGCGATAGTTGTACTGAATTATTGCAAACAGCAGCTTTTGAGATCACGCTAAAACATGGCGGAGAAACGCCGTTTTTTCTACACTGCCGAAACATTAATTGGCCGTTGGCTACCGAATAGCGTAAGCGTTAATGTGTGTCTTTTCGTAGCACTGTCATGGCGTCGCTTATTGTATCCCGACTCACGCCTTTAGGGCTTAGGCTACCGACTGTCGACACGAGCTGTCATTTTCATACAAATTTAGTTTTCGACTTTCTACATAGTACATACACTACTGTTAAGCCATCTTGGCTAGACCCCTAGGGGTCTAGCCATATTGGTGTCGAAAAGTATTCTACATACACTACCGCTTTTGCGTAATTGTATTGTCGAAAACGCTTCGTTCGTAGCCAAGAGGCATGTCGATACATTACCGCAAAGTCGACAGC